GACAAGATCTTAGGCGATTATAAATTCTTTAAGTAAAAAAAAATTCATCAAGTTTGACGATCTAAACCAAAAACACACAACTCAAAATATAATCACTTGTATCGGCGAGGCGAATATAAATAAAACAGAGAAGCAAACAATACGCCGTGTATATGAATGAGTCATTGATTGCTTATCTATTCTGTTAAGCATAGTGGCAATTGCTTTGCGAGCACACGTGCAGTCCTCGTATAATACATCGGATTAGTTTTATAACAACTTTGTTGACTTGCATCTCACAATCGCCGAGGGACTACAGACCAAACTGGAAGGCTGCCACGATCCTGCGTCAACAATTGCTCTGCAGTTCTCTATCTATTAAGATAGTTTTTCTTATATCAAATTAGCAAGTGTTCATATACACGGTGGGCATGAAACCGGACGACCCAGGAGAAAACACGCAACACTATACCACGCACAAAGTCCACACTTTGCGGCTGTATAAAACGCATTCTGCTGCGCGAGCCACAGGGTATGGCACCTCGCGTCTCGAGCCACCGACCCCCTCGCTGCCTCCACAGTAACGAGATTACAGGCAGCCACGACGTACGGCGAAGTGTCGCCACCGCAAACCAAAACAATAAAAAATTAACCCGTAAAAACAAAGTTTTTCACAATAAATTATTTATGCGTGGCGGCTAGAGTCCTCTCGTCCTCTGGCTTGAGATAGCTGCCACCTATGGGTCAGATGATTGCCTGCCACCATTAAACAATTGGTAATTAAAAGAAAGAAAACCCTCATTCGAGGCCTAAACATCGCACCTGCTGGCTTCGACATCACTCAAAGACGCTGGTGAACCACCAGCCGCGTCTCACATGACCATTAACGGGCACACGACATATGGACAATCCTCGATGTTAAGTAAACAAACACTTGCATTGATGCGGAGAACACTTCAGACGCAGCGATTCATTCAATCACTCGCACTGCCAAACCCGCGCAGGCGGAAGCCGCCTCTCACCGCGCCCTACCCGCGGTGGGTGGCGGGGGGGGGAAGAGTCGAACAATCGACCCGATAATCCCCTCGACTTCGCTCCTGACGACGCGTCTTAAAAACTACAATTGTCTCCGAGCTCCACTGGGACGCAGGCGACTGCCTCATTCGCGAGGCAGGCGCGAGAGAGCACGCACACGCACGCGCGCGCACGCCCAGCGGAAGCAGCTTAAGGCGCCTTGCAAAACAAAAAAGAGCACGCACGCGCACGCACGCGCGCCAGAGCGACGAGAAGACGCGAGCGGACGGCATGAGCGTGCAGAATCATTCGTGATTACACGGGGGTGACGAATTCATTGATTGGCAAACATGATTCACCCCCCCCCCCATTCCTATCTCCCCCGCCCTCCCCCCCCCCAAGGATTCCAATTGATTGAAGCATGATTCACAAACCTGGCTCTCTCGTTTGTATTATCCGTCTCGTTTGTATTGTCTCATTTCATTTCCTCGTTCATATCATCAACGTCCCACGTGACGCGCTGAGCAATTAACGCTGCCTGCGTCAGGCGGAACACGTGCACACACACACACACGGTTCAACACGGAGACTTTCGCGACCAGTATTACTCATAATAAAGGTTTTTGGGTTAGATCGCGGACTTAACAATCTCAAATTTAAATCGTCGCTGTCCACGCAATCAGCGTGGAACGCGTTCCGAGCGCTGTTATGAGGGTGTCTTGGAACGCCAATGCTAAACCATTGAGAAATGTGTGTTCCCCTGGTTACGTATTCTATGAAAACCCGTATTGTCCCAACAACAACTTCAACAACAACAGCAAGATCAGCGCAATCATCCACTCTATCAGCACCTGCCACAATTAAATGTGTGCGCGATGATACTTTTTGAACCAAACGCGATCGTCAATAACGCTGCCTTGAACGGAACAGGATATCCTCTACGTGACGTTTCGTGCAATGAACCTCTTCTTCGTGGCAGATCATTAGAGAGGACAGGGAGTGGATAAACGAGAGTTGCAGACTGCACTTGACACCGCGGGGGCCTGATGAGTACCGTATTCTTAAATCGTTTCACGATTAACAGGTTTTCTTTTAAAAAATTGCATGTGATGAGTCGTGTGCGTGTGGAGAGCGGCAGTGTAGCGGCTAGCGCTACGCTGCGCTCCGAACCCGGCGTCCCGAGTTCGACTCCCGCTCACGGCCAACACCAGTGACGATTATCTGAATTGGTCGTCCTCTAGGTCGACTCAGCCTCAAATGAGTATCTGGTGTGTAAAAACATCGCCACTGGGGAGACAAAGGCGACCGGGCGTGGTGCTGGCCACTCACCCCCTCGTGCGCCGTGCCGGCCTTCGTAGGCGCTCGCTAACAGCACTTGCCCCAACAGTCTGTTGAGGCTATATGGGGGAGCTGTGTCTTTGTATGTTGAACTTCTTTCGCACCGTACGTAGCAAACCGTGCCTATTGGTAGCTGATCAGGCAAACCCTTCAAACGTACAAAAGGGTGTTTTACTAAATACACGTATTTCCATTATAATAACAATTGTAACGTGTTGTTGGCACAATGCGTTATGACGAGTAAAATGGTTGTATTAAAGTCATTGCATGTTGAACTTCTTTCGCACCGTACGCAGCCGACCGTGCTAATCGGAGGTCCGGAATGAGAACACACTTTAGAATAATCCACGGATTGATCATTATCAATCAACCCAGGTCACCCTTGCTAATCAGTCTCGTCCTGGTCTCTTGAGCTCTGAGCAGGATAAACAAAACAATTGCCACTGCAACTCTTGATTCGACGAATTGCCAATAGGAGTCTGTTTGAAGTGATGCACCATCAGCATCCATCTATCAATAGACGGATGCTGAGGCGGTGTTTCGCCGCTGCTTTTGCAACGGGGCTGCCTTTTTGGTGTTCGGAGACGCAGCAACGCCGACTGTGCAATTGTTAAACGCCGCGGAGTATTTGGCGATGCTGCTGCTACTGCGTTAAACACCCCACAAGGGCACAAGCACCAGAATTAATGAAGCGAACCAAAAAAAACACCTCAACGCATATTCGTCAATAACAAGTGCGACCGTAAAACGTAAACATACAACAGACGACGCTTTGGACACGTACACAAGAGGCTTGGGGTACATTCTACCTACTCTTTGGTTTTTTCGGTAAAGTCACGTAAGTTAAAACATTTTTTTGAAAATAACAACAAATTTTACTGGAGCAGTTACACCTGATGACGGAGGCTTGTGTTGCTTCCGAAACGTCGTGATTTAATATAGTTATTTTAATTTATTATTTTATTATTTTTACCTACGTGACTTTACCGAAAAAACCTCAGAGTATGAATCCTTGCAGTCACGAAAGCTTCAAATCTAGAATACATTCTACCTCTCTAAGTGCTGTTGAGAGCCATTTCCCAAAACGTCGCCTATTACATGCACTTCCTTTCTCCGAGGCATACATACTGTATATATAAATGTGCCTTCCCATCGACTAATTCTGCACCATCGGCAGAGCGGGCGAATTACCAAAGCCCCCCATCCGCCTCCCCGCGTCACCCTCAACTCTCTCACGTTGCCGCAGGGAGCCGACAGCAGCAACTCTCACACACGCACACAAAGCCTCCTTCCCCTCCTCCTCCTCCTTGGTGGCGGAGGGAACACGAGGCGCCCCGTGTCACCCTCAACTCTCTCACGTTGCCGCAGGGAGCCGACAGCAGCAACTCTCACACACGCACACAAAGCCTCCTTCCCCTCCTCCTCCTCCTTCCTTCTTCTTGGTGGCGGAGGGAACACGAGGCGCCCCGGGACACCGCTCCCCGCCGACCAGTCTGGGCCTGGCGCGGCACCAACCACCACCACCACCACCCGGCTCCCCCGTCTGCCAAGTTCTAATGCCGGCTCCATCGTGGCTCCAGTGTCGCCAGAATAAATCAATCAATCAAACTAACCTCAACTCCCGTGGCTTTCTCACCCCCCCCCACCACCAGCGCCGTAGTGAGTGCGCAGGTTAACGGAACACTTGAGTTAGTGTTCCGACAAGCATGTTGGTAGTTCGCCTGCATTTGGTTTCAAGGAAGCCTTCCCGTTGCCGATGACGCGCTTTTATGATAATTTGTTTTTTACCCTTTTATCTGGCAACAAAACTGACACCTTTTTTTACGAGGAGTCATGTTTGCATAGACCACAATACCTGCAGTCATAATGCAAACAAAAAACATAACTCTGATAAGGACAGTGCATACATTATCAGTTATGTTTTTTGTTTGCATTATGACTGCAGGTATTGTGGTCTATGCAAACATGACACCTCGTAAAAAAGGTGTCAGTTTTGTTGCCAGATAAAAGGGTAAAAAAGCAATTATCATATTTTTTACTGGCAAATGAGGTACCAATGGTGACGCGCTTTTAGTTAACCCCGAAAGCCACACCGAGCCCAAATTCTCATTTTCAGGAGGGTCCTGCTACGTTGGTATGTTTGGCAATACCAAAGTACGTTCTTGTACATATGGGGAGAAACGGGAGAACCTGGAGGAAACCCGTGCAGCACAGGGGGAGTGGATGAACCGATCAGAGAAAAGGTTCCAAAGTGATGAATAAAACACAGGTCGTTCTTGGCTGCGAGTCGCAAGTGTTAGCACGCTCACCCTGATGATACACTGAGTGTCTAAACCTTGCCATAGCTTGTTACACATGCTGCTGGAAGAAAAGAAAAAACTCCCAGAAGGCCGTGGTTGATGGGATGTGTAAAAAATAACTCCCAGAAGGCCGTGGTTGATGGGATGTGTAAATAAAACTAGATTTTTCTTTGTACGGAGGACAAAATTGTACATATTTTGTTTTGACATCGCGTTTGCAGCACACAGGTCCACTGTTCAACGCCAGTGGTAGCTATTGACACTGTTTAGCGCCCTGAACCTCTGATCCAGCGGGCCAGCAGACATTGTTCAAAGAGGAGGCTAACCAGGCAGTGTTGTTGTAATTCAAAAGGTCTGGGACACGGCTCATTTCTCGATAACGTTTATTCAGAATCACACGAGGAAATGTATGGAATCTTTTTTTTTTACAAGAAATATGGCTTTAAAATAATAATTCTGTGGCTTACCCAGCCATCTGGACCTCCTGGCCCAGCCTTCACACAAGAACAAAAAACCTCAAAAGCTGCTCGGGCAAGTGCTGTTAGCGAGCACCTATTGAGTTCTGGATGTCGTACGAGGGGGTGGGTTGGTCAACACCAAACCCAACGAAACTGCCTCATCAGTAATGTTGCCAAATCGCACAAAGTATTCGGGACTCGTTTACATATTCGCCACCGATGTTGGTCACGAGCAGAAAGTGGAACACCGGGTCGCTGCAATACGCTAACCACTGCACCTCCCCTCCTCCCAACCAACACACACACACGAGGCAGCTTCACTTGACCTGCAGCTGCACTTTGATGTTCATGGAGGCGAGCTCGGCCACGAAGTATCGCAGCACGAAGGGCATCGTCACGACACACACGGAGTCCGCGCTCTTGCACACGACGCACACCCAGGCGCGGCGACCGCTGCGAGTGTGCGCCCAGTCGGGCGGCGGCCGCTCCAGCGTGGGCGACAGCAGCGAGCCACAGCGCGTGCACACGCGCGCCTCGCAGCGGTCCGAGCACGCCACCAGGCGGTCGTGCAGCAGGAACGAGGTGCCGTGCGCCAGCAGCGCGTCACGCTCCATCTCGCCGAAGCGCACGCCGCCCTGAACGTTGCGCCCGCCCACCGGCTGGCAGGTGAGGCGGTCGCGCGCGCCCGTCGTTCGTACCTGGGAGGGGTGGAACGCGGGTGGGGGTGGGGCGGTGGGGGCGGGGCAGTGGGGGGGGGGTCGAGATGAGGTTTTGATGTCATTCGGAGATCTGAAACGAATGCGCACTGTTGGCGAAAATCAGGGCTGCGTGCACTGCTATCACCGCACGGAGAAAAAGACGGCGTGATGGAAAAAACTAATCAAGAGTGGAGAGCCGGATGAAGAGACGAACAGTCACATGGACAGATGGGACGGACAGACAGGTGAGAGAAGGCTCTTTCCACAAGTCCCACACGTTCCGAGTGCGCGGCCTCAGGCTGGCGGAAACCCTGCGTCACCTGAAACTTGTCGGACACCATGTGGCGCAGGCGCTGGTAGTAGACGATGCCGATGAAGATGTCGGCGTCGAGTTCCAGGCCGCTGATGCCGCTGTACAGGCGCTCCGTGCCCAGGTGGCTGTAGCCCGCGGCACTCAGCAGCTTGCCAAAATACTCCACCGCCGTCAGCTGCTTACCCTCGTCTGCAGACGCGCGCACACAAACACGTACAGCATAAACAGACGTTTGGGGCAAACACTGTTAGAGAGCAACTACGAAGGCCGGAACGGTGCATGAGTGGTGTGGCCGGAACCAATCCCCGGTCGCCAATGCCGGGAATCATACCCAGGTCGCCGGGTTCATAGCGCAATCACCGAGTTATTGCTCGCCACGAACACAGACACAACATGCGCACGTGCACACGAACACAAGACAAATACACACACGCTTGCATGAATTCAAACCCAGATTACTCACAGGTTAATTCAAACCCAGGATCTTAGCGATGCCAGCTCAATGCTCTTACCTCTAAACCACCCGGTCACCTTCCACAACCACCACCTCCACAACCACCACCGCCAAAACCACTACCGCCACAACTACAACAACCACCGCCACAACAATTGTCGCCGCCATCGCCACCACCACCAAAACTACTGCCACCACCAACACCACCTCTAAAACCACCCGAACAGCCATCACCACCACTACCACCACCACTACCACCACCACTACCACCACCACAACCATCACCACCACTTCCACCGCCAGCGCCGTACCTCCGTCGGTCGAGCTCCTCTCCGAGAAGGTGAACGGCGTGGCGTCATGACACAGGCCGTGCATGGCGGCCGACTTGCCGGCCATGCTCTCGATCAGCATGCCGATGGTCATGCGCGACGGGAATCCGTGCGGGTTGAACAGGATGTCGGGCGTCATGCCGCCCTCGCTGAACGGCATATCCTCGGTGCGCCACAGCCGGCTCAAGATGCCCTTCTGGCCGTGGCGGCTGGCGAACTTGTCGCCGATCGTGGGGTTGCGGGGAATGCGCATCGTGATGCACGCCCGAAAGAAGTGGCCCGTGCCGCTGTCGTTGCCGCACGCCTTCACGTTGTCCACCACCGCGTCCTCCTTGCCCCTGGGGACGAGTCGTCTTGTGAATGTGCAGTAGAAATCTGGGGTTTAGGCCGCCTAACGATCCGACCTGATTTTGCGGCAACCAAGGTTCTCCCACCTACCCGGCGCGGCCAAAGAAATTAAATTGTCACTACGCACTGGCGTTTCACGCGGCCAATTGTCGTCTTGTTTCAGCTCGCCGGTGAGTTGAAGTGGACAGCCAAATTGTTTCAATTACGACTCGAGCAACATATGGAGTCGTAATTTGTCAGGCCGGCACTTCAGACCAAGAAGATATTTTTAAGAAGAGGCGTGCACGACACTAGCCGTGGTCACCGGATTCTTAATGCAGCAAGCGAACCACTGCACCACCACTCCACCTCACTGATGTGTGAATCGCGAGCCTTTAGAATCGATTTTAATTGACGAATGGATGAAACGTTACGTGCCTGTAAGACCGCCCACCGTTTCTTGCATGTAAAGCGCGAGTTTTAACTTAACAAAACATATATATTTTCCCCCATTTTTATCCCAACGGTGCTTTTGCCTTCATGTCATGAGATAAATAATACATTTGGATATCTCACACAGCAGTGCAATCTCGCGTCAGATAAGGGTCCATGGAAGAAGATGTAGCAAACTACTTCTAAGATCCCATCCTGGGACCTTTCATCCACACAGTAGGTGGCAGCATTTTCCCACTCCCTCCGCCACCAAGAGGAGTATTTGTCCCATGACAAAGCCACCCTCCTCCCGTGCCCCCCCATCCCGATTTCACCCCCCTACCCCCCCGCCCCATATCTACGTGACCCTCCGGCCCATGGGCACCCGTTGCAGTTGCTCAGTCAGCACACTCGACAATTACGCTCGCCCCCCACCACCCCCATCAGAATAAAAATCGTTGTTTATACTGGAGGAATCCGATGAGCTATGAAGCTCTTTCTCACAGATGTCCAGTATGGGCGGGTCAGCAAGTTACCACAGCGAACAATACAAAAACACGATAGGAGTGCAAAATAGAGAAAATGCCACGAAATGTAAATAAATAATAAAATATCCCATCATGTAAGTCTGACTTGTCAAGCTTGGGCAAGGCATCAAAAACAACAACAAAACAGTTTAACACTTAGGCTTTCGCGACCAATATTATTGATAATCAACGTTTTTGGGTTAGATCGCGTTAATATTAAAAATGTGTCGTAACCCTCCACCACCCGACACGGCCAATCAGCAAAAAAGTGTCACGTTGACAAAAGAGAAATAGTTCACTACTTTAGCCCACCAGTGTGTTGAAGCGTGAAACCACAACATTTACAATGTGTGGTGGAGGGTTACAACATAATTATAAATAACGCGATCTAACCCAAAAACGTTGATTATGAACAACAAAACAGTCCCCCCCACTACCCCCTTCCCCCCCTTTGAGACTGCTCGCTCACTTGTAGGCGATGACGGTGGCCTCGCCGGTGGCGAGGTTCAAGTAGGAGTAGAAGGGCTCCCCGTAGCGCAGCCACGAGCCGATCGAGGGCAGGCCGTCGGCGTCGAGCTTGGCGGCGCCGGGTCGCGCGTCGTCGCCGGCCTTGAAGCCGAACACGAGCTCGTCGCGGCCCTCGCGCACGCACTTGGTGAGATCCACGAGCTCCGTCTTGTAAATGCTGCCGTGCGCGAAGCCGCGCTCCCACGACGACTTGTTCACGATCTGTTTTTCGTGCCGAGAAAGAGACCTTCGGGAACCGGGCCTCGCGTTGATCGCGTGCCGGTTGTATTTTATTACAACTCGTGAAACGCGTCGTGGATGTACAAAGTCTACGCGTGGAATAAAGGCCTCTCCGTGACGCTTCGTGGCTTTTAATTGGAGGGCTCGGCAACAAAGGACAGCACGAGCGGGCGACTGGTGCCGTGCTCGCACGCACACAGAGCCGTGCACGCACATCAGCCGTGCACGCACACCAGCCGTGCACGCACGCACACAAAGCCGTGCACGCACATCAGCCGTGCACGCACGCACACAGAGCCATGCACGCACACCAGCCGTGCACGCACGCACACAGAGCCGTGCACGCACACCAGCCGTGCACGCACACAGAGCCGTGCACGCACACCAGCCGTGCACGCACGCAAGTGGGCGAGAGGGCCCGGCCTGTAAAGCAACGTGCGCAAATGTACCATGGCGTCCTCCATGTCGTATCCCGTGTAGGAGATGACTGCCACCACGGCGTTGGTGCCCGCGGGATAAGTGTCCATGGCGTAGTGGTCGTACATGTACGGCCGCACCAGGGGGCTCTGCGGCGTCTGCAGCCGGTACAGCTTGTTGTCAGAGCGGTCGCGGAAGTTGTGCAGCGGGGTGCCCATCGTCTGCTTGCCTGCACGCGGAGGGGATGGGGAGAGATGCGTGTGGGAAGGATCAAGCGAGCCGCATAAACGGGATACTTCTTGCGTATGGCTTCGTAAAGAACAACTTGGAAGGTCTGTATTCGAGTTTGGTAGGCAGGCGATGGCTACGGGTGAGGCTGAGTTGATTTCTGATGCTACTGCACCTCCGTTGGATTTCAGTGGTCTACACGGCGCTCTACAGTTTGGTCAGAGCCTCTACAGTCACATTTCGGACTTCCTTTGAATTTCCACTGATGAAGGCGGTGACCGGATCTGGCGTCGTGGATCGTGCAGATTCGATTTCATCACGTGTTCCAGTGATTTCACGGAAGGTTGCCACCAGATAACAGCGAGTAGGTAAGAGCGATATCACGAGACCTAAATGTTGTACCATTGTATCCTTTATTTAACCAAGACATGGAATGAACCTTATTGAGACATGTAAATCATTGTCTCTCATGCAAAGGTTACCTGGGATTCAATCAGAGTGTATCCTCATGGTCACCACTGACTGTCAAGTACTTGTGGGTAGAACGGTAGGTCTGTCAGCAGAAAGCCAAGTAGATTCAAGTCAACCTCGTAGGTAGGCAGGGGCATAGGTGTGTGGGTAGTCAGGTATGTAGGTAACAGAAGCCTACCTATGTGGGTACACTGATGAGTGTGGATAGTTTGCTAGGTAGGTAGGTCGGTAGATAGGCAGAAGTAAAACTTACGGTAAAGTAGGTAGATAAGTGGGAGGAGTTGGGTAGGCAAGTAGGTCTGTAGTAATTCCTGTGGATTGTGGGTAGGCAGGTTTGCAGGCAGGTAGATATGTAGCTAGCTAGATAAGCAAACAGGCAGGTAGGTAAGTAGGCCGATAGCGAGGTAGTGAGATTGGTAGGTAGCTAGCAGGCAAATAGGCTGGCAGGTACGTTGTTAGAGAAGTAGATAGCTAGATAGGTTAGTTAGTAAGTTAGGTTAAGTAATTTACAGGTAGGTAGGATGTTAGGTAGGCAGGCAGGTAAGTCCCCTGGAAGATAGGTTGTTAGTTAGGTTGATACTAAATTAGGCAGGAGCAAGGTAGTTCGGTAGGCAGGTAGGCATGTCGGCAAATAGTTGGGTAGGATGGTAGGCGGGTATGAAGGCTGGCAAATAGATTAGTAGATAGGAAGGTAGTTAGGTAGTTTGGTAAGTGGGCAGGCAGGCAATCAGGCGGGTAGGTAGGGGCAAGCGTTTATTAGGGGTAGGCAGCAGTGAGGCGAGCAGACGCTCACCCATCTGACACTGGTACATGTTGCGGGGACTCTGGTTGTGGTCCGAGTAGGGGATGAAGTTGGCCACCACGCTCAGCATGCTGTGTGGAAACAGCTCCTGGTGCGTGGTCACCCCCTTCACGATCTCGTTCTCACGGATCGCGATGTCCATGTAAATCTGTGGGGCGGGGGGCGAGAGAGATGATGTGGCAATACCGGAACACAAATATCTCCTGTATAGCTTACATGGGCTTTTAGGACACGTTAGACAGCACCCATGAACGACAACAGCTCCATCCCATGTCACTCATGGTGGTCGTTTGACCACACTTCACCACAGTGGTTAGTGCGGGCTGGTAAATGTCTGGTTGTGCAGCGTTAACTCTAACCCCACGGCAAGAAGGGCCTGGGTTCGATTCCCAACTTGGGTGCCTTTCTGTGTGGAGTTTGTATGTGTTTCCAGTTTCTTCAAATCGCTAAAAACACACAATGTCGGCCAAAAATATCCCAGTGCAGGACCCTCCTGGAGTCTTCAGACTCAACGTGGCTTACATTATTTGGAATATTTGGCTGCTATACATTTCCATATGATAAGCCAGGTCGTTGAGCTTTCATTTGTGGCCTGGTTGCTTCTGCAAAGAAGCTAATAGGTCAGTGGGCATCATCTGGTAAAATAAATTAGCTTTCGATTTAAAGCTTTCGTGACTGCAGGGATTCATATTCTTGGTTCTTTCGGTAAAGTCACGTAGAAGGGAAATAATACAATAAAAATATAAAACAATAAAATTCTCACGACGTTTCGACTGCAACACAAGCAATCATCATCAGGTGTGAAATCCACAGCAAGAAAATTAAGAAAGAAACGGCACATTTTCAAATTTTCTTGCTGTGGATTTCACACCTGATGATGATTGCTTGTGTTGCAGTCGAAACGTCGTGAGAATTTTATTGTTTAATATTTTATTATATTATTTCCCTTCTACGTGACCTTACCGAAAGAACCAAGAATATAAACTAGTTTCGTTTTATTTGTATATTTATTTTAAGTGATTTGCATACCTTCCCTATACTTTGCACCCCTATCGTGTTTTTGTATTGTTCCGTCCCGCCCCTCTACTGGACATCTATGAAAAAGAACTTTATAGGCCACCGGGATTTCTCCAGTACAAATAAACATTCCGATTCTGAAGAAGTCATCATTACAGAGACGTACGCACCAGACTGGTGCCGCGGTGGCGAGCACGACCAACCCACCTGCTCGAAGGTGCCTATGAGCTCCTCGACGCCGAGTGCCAGGTTGCGGACGGGGCGGATGAGGCGGCCGGCGCCCGTGAACACGTAGAGCGTTGGGTAGAGGCTGGCGCAGGCCGTCTTGGGAACCAGCACCACCTCGGTCCAGGGCGGCACTCGCTTCTCCTTGCGCGCCTGCGGCATGGAACACGCCGACACCACGGGGTGGTGGTGGAGCGGGGCGGGTGAAGAGGTTGTGGAGGAGGAGGTGGTGGCGCTTGAGATGTTGGTGGAGGTGGAAAATCATGACACGGAGAAAAAGGAAACCACAACGAGCACGTGGTCACAACTAATTCACCTCCTCTCCAAACAGAGCCCAGGGAATGAGGAGAAGATGTTTCTAACATATTCTCATAAACGTTTCAACCACATTCAATTAACAAAGGCCCCCATGTAGCCTCTAGAGACTCTTTGGGAGAAAATTACTGCGAGTGAGCAACTATTAAAAGGGGTGGCCACAGTGCGTGGCTAGGGATGGTGCGGCCAGGCCAACATTAGCTAAGGAACACCCAAAACCCTTGGAGCCAAACTAAAATGAGCCATCAAGGAGAGCCAAGAGGAGCAGGAGAGTCGTGCCAGCAGCCCCGTCGACGTTGCGATCGCGCACCTTGTAGGTGCGCAGCGTGCTGACGATCTCTGGCGCGATCCGAGGGTCGGCCCAGCCCACGAAGGAGCCATCCAGCATCACCGGGTAGCACTCGGAGTAGGGGCAAGCGGGGGTGCCGTCCACCGGCACCACGCCTGGGCGGGCACGATGCACACGTCAACACACTAACATACGAATATACCAAAAACATCGGCAACAGACCAACACACTGACATACTCATATACCAACACACTGGTAAGCCGACACACTGACATTCTACTAATATACTCGATAAGATACACCAGCATTCCTAATACAGAAAATTTTTTTATTACATTTTTGGGAGGCAGATTTTAGGATTTTAAGGCCAAAATAATCAAGTTAAATTAATAAAATTAGAATAACGGCCACACCGTTTAAGCACCATGCCACACCGCACCGCCGCGCGGCAATCTCACCGAGCGAGCAGAGCAGGGCGGGCATGCCACCGATGGGCGTGACGGCCGTCACCACCTGGGCGCCGACCGTCAAGTGGTTGAGGAGGCCGCAGGGCGTCCCGTCGGGCGTGTGCACGGGGCACAGGAAGCCCCACGACTCGGGAAGCAGGCGGCGCACCGTCGTGGTGCGCATACGCGCAAACGCGGCGCCGCGGTGCACGGCGCGGAAGTGCGAGATGTAGCGCGTGAAGTTCAGCTTGTCGGCCACCACCGCCAGACCCGCATCCTGCAGCATGCCCAGGCCTGCGGGAACCCACGCACGCACGCAGAGACAGATGTACAGACGGACGGGCGGACGAGACACTGGTAAGAACCCGGAAAGCACCGATGGATTAGTCAACATCTCTCCCATCCTGCTCTAGCGGCGACGGAATGATTTTTTTTAGTTTGTGAAGAACGGGCGACACTGAACCAGCACTACTGTGGGTTCGAACCTGGGTTCTCAAGTGTACCAAGTTTATGGTCTCAAGCCTGACCAACAATTGCCCGTGAAAAAAATCCAGAACATTAAATTTGAAGTTTCACTAAATTTGTCAAATTCCAGCTCTGAGAATTAAAAATATTGGTTTGGTTACTTAATTGGGAAGCCACGTGGCAACATCACTCCCTGCTACTCGCAGATTAATGCCCAACTTCCTGGCCGGTGCTGCAATCCCCTTGCCCGTTCACCGAGTGGAAGTTGGTCCGTGCGCGCATTGCAATGGAGGAGCAGTATAAAATATGAAGTGATGGTGATGATGGCGACGACGACGACGAGTGGCGGTACCTGTCTTGGAGGCGAGGTTCCCTGTCGCCAGCAGGTACTCGGTGGCGCGGGTGAGGTCCGACACGGAGCTCAGGACCTTGGCAATAGAGTCCGTGGTGAGCGGGATGTTGCTGTGGCGCTGCACGCGCTTGTCAAACGAAAACTTGGCGCCCACGAGCCAGCCCTCCATTTTCTCCTGCACACGCGTGTGGGGGTGAGCGTCAAAGGGTGAGTGTCACAGGGTATGGGGGGGGGCAAATGGTGAGGGTTGAAGGGTGATGGTCAAAGGTTGAAAGGCAAGGGGGTGCGCTTGGAAGGGTGAGTGTCAGAGGGTGAGGGGAAAGAGATGAGGGTCAGAGGGTGATGAGCAAGGGATGATGGTCGAAAGATAAGGGGCAAGGGTAAGGGTCATGGGGTGAGGGGCGTGGGGAGCTTTTAAATATCAATGGTTCAAGTGGCCGAGTAGTGGCTCAGAAGTTACAGGACTGAGCGGACGCTGGGTTTGAAACCATGGTGCAGTCACCCAACAGCTTCTCAAATGCAGCAAGTTGATGGCCTCAGCCTAGTGACCAAGAATGGAACAACGTAAACCCATCCTGTTTGACTTTTCATCAAATCTCGCAAGCTAAGCAGGTTTTTAGCCCGCGCACACAAACACCTTGTTGGGTCAGCAAAATGTCATTGTTGTCCTGCACAAAATCCATCGTTGTACTGCACTTCTACACTTCCATATCTACGATCCTTGTCTCCATCAACTTGCACTAAGCACAAGAGTTAAGTTCTATGAAACTAACGATGCTGGTGCAGAGGTTCCCGATGGTTTTCTGGTTGTACCGCGTTTCATTTGGCACGATGTCTGATAAACATTTCGTAGAGAATCGTCCAGCACGAAGAGCAAAACGTCGGACGTAATGTAACAACCGCTTGCCCGCAGAACCGGAAAAACACGTCGTAGAGAGGAAATAATAATACTTTCATTTCATACAGCGTCATTCATGCTAACAGGATCCCACAACGCTGTACATTATATATAATGACCAAATCCCATATATAGCTACTACCAGCAAATGAAAACCCTACAACCAAGCCAAATCAAAAACGAATTAACAAAAAAATGGCGCCAAAAAAAAAGCACCAACAAGGAAAACGTTATGACAACAAATAAAATAGTCTAATAAGTCGAACAAATAATAATAATAATAATAACGGCTGGTGGTAGTGGTCACTGCGGGGAACTGTGGGGTAAGCACCTTGAGCATCATGAGGTATAGATGCCCCGAAGTCAAGACCTCCTGCGTCGAGAGGCTGTCGGGGTTCTCTGGCGCGCACTCCCCCTTGGCGAAGGCGAAGAGTTTGCGCGTCATCATGCACAGCAGCTGGAACTTCTCCACGTTGCTCTTGAGATGGATGCATATACACTGGCTGGAAATACACACACAGTCAGGGTCGGGTGGTAATCTCGTCAATCACCCATGCAGTCACTCCCTCTAACCGGCAGGCCAGTCACCTCCATGTCACTCTTACATAGCTACGAACAGGATTACCGTTCCCCAGAACTTCACCCATTGTTCACGCCGCCCATGTTGAGGACTCTGGTCTACCAGAATGGCTGTTTCGTCTCATCCTCAATGTTCAACCACCACCGCACTGCACGTCACAACACTTCTCTCTCTATGTCGCTTTCCTCTCACCGATCGACTTTGAAATCCCCTTCCATAGTCCCTTTCCCAAGTGCTCATAACCTCGCTTAATTCAAGAAACGTAACGAGCCCCGTCGCAATCTCGAGAGTGCTGTTAGTTTCTCGTCACTTTGGCCACTGGGAAACGCCACAGGGTCAAAGGTTGGTGAGGGTGGGAGGGGGGGGGAGAGGGAGGGAGGGAAAGAGGCTCACTCGAAGAGAAACTCCGCCACCTCCTCGTCCGTGAGCCACTCGGGCAGGACAAGCTTGACGCGGAATCGCTCTCCCAGGTAGCGCATCACCTGGGCCTGCGTGAGGCAGCCCTCGTCACCCACGGCGCGCATCATGTACGCCACGCAGCTCCGGTAGAACGAGTTCCCCTCCATGCTCTTTGTGAGCTCGCTGAAGATGCGGTAGTCTGTGAAGGACACGAGGCCCTGGCGGAGGCAGAGTTGAAAGGGGGAGGGCAGCGATCGCGGGTGTCCCGACGACTTGTCGTTCGAAATTAGATCCGGCTCGCGCGATGCCGGTTCCGCGTTACCGAGCGTCTCGGGGGAATCTTGCGCGGGAATGCGACCGCCGCCGCCGCCACCGCCTCGCTCACCTTGAGCGCGAAGCCGAGCGGCATGAAGAAGAGCTGCTTGCGATAGATGAAATTGAGCATGACGGTGCCGTTGTCCAGGTAGTGCAGATTCATGTTGATGGCCGTGTGCTCCTCGCACACACAGTGGATGGAGATGCCTGCCCAAAAGAAAAAGACCCCCCAGTATTGCCTTAACAGACTTGTGGGGAAAGTGCTGCTAGCGAGCATCTATGAAGGCCGGCATGGCACGCAAGGGGGTGGGGTGGCCAACACAATACCTGGCAGCCTTTGTTTCATGAATGGTGATGTTTACACATCGCACCATGCATTCATCTGAGGCCGAATCGGCCTAGAACCGGTTCAGGTAATAGTCACTGATGTTGCCCATGATCGGAAATTGAACTCGGCTCGCCGGGTTCGTAGTGCAGCACGCTGATCGCTGTAATACCGCTCCCCACACACACACAAGAACAAAGATGCCCCAAAGGAACTATACAGATTGTTGGGGTAAATGTTAGTGAGTATCTGTCAAGGAGTACTGTGACCAGTACCACACATGTCTACCACCTTTGTGTCACACATTATTTGGTGGTGTGTTAACAGTGGAGCACAATCATATTAGAACAAACGTCAATAACACATCCTTCAAGAAAAAATATATATTTAATTACTTATAATAGGTGACATTTTAGGCGAAGGTCTTATTTAGAAGGGTTATTTATAATAAGGCTTTTCCAGAAATATATTTTATATATTTTAATTTTCAAGGCCACAGATTTCGTGACAAATGTGTTGAGTATTTTTTGCATTTCATGTGCGAATGGAAACACACTACCAGCGACTCATGTAAGGCTAAGTCAACCTATGGGAGGCTCAGGAGGAGCTCAGATCATTTCCAATGTTAGCCATTGGCTGGCAATCCAACTCAGGTGGCCGGTTATGTAGCGCCATGCGCTGAACACTGTGCTACAGCACCAAACGCATACACAAACGCACGCAGTATGGCATGATAACCCAATGACGGCATTCCTTCACAAAGCCACGCTCACTGTAAAATAGTGATCATGACGATGATGGTGAAGTTGAGAAAGGAAACACCGACCGTCAGGGCTCGCGCCAAGTTGTTTTCGCTTGCCGGCAGTGACGGCGGTGGTGGCGTTGGTTGCGACTCACTCACCGAACTCGGTGTAGCCGGGGCCCCTGCTCTTCCACTTGGGCCGGTTCAAGGCAATAGGGTAGTTTCGCCGTGGCATGATCAGCATGCGCACCACCTTCTCGATGCCGTTGATAATGTAGTAGCCGCCCATTTCCTGCGCGCGGTCCAAAACGAACGCCCACCCCCCCAACAGATCCCAGTCAAAAAATAACGCATTGTTAAAAGTATTGTTGTGACCGTACGATAAGAGTTGGGCCGATTCGTCAATGAATTTGATTATCAGGTGAAAATTGTAATGGACTATTTTTTTGTGGCTGATTACGGAGACCGGTTTCAAAATCGTAATGCAGATGATGCCCATATAGCCGTACAAACTGTTGGGGTAAGTACTACAAGCGAGCACCTACAAAGGCCGGCAAGGCGTAATATGGGGCAGTGTGGCCAGAATCACACCCAGCTGCCTGTATCCCAAGTACTAATATGTACACTTGGCATTAGGAACTTATTTAAGGCCGAGTCAATCCAGGGAAAGCCGAAGACCGGTTCAAATATTCTCCACCAATCTTAGCTATCTTCTTGGTTCTTTCGGTAAAGTCACGTAGAAGGGAAATAATAAAATAATAAAAAAAACATAATAAAATACAATTCTCACGACGTTTCGGCCACAATGCAAGCAGCCATCCTCAGGTGAAGAACAGGTCTGTCGGAAAGAGAGCGTCAGATGCTTCTGCGTGACTTTACCGAAAGAACCAAGAAGATGAATCCCTGCAGTCACGAAAGCTTTAAATCGAAATCTTACCTATGTTCGGTAATAAAATTTAGGTTGCTGGATTTACAGCGCAGCGAGCGAACTACTACACTTTCACTCCACACACGCGCGTACAGGTACATAAATGGGCAGGTATATTACATCATAACAATAATTGTTGTGATTGTGAGTGTTACCATAACTCTTTTGCTGTGCGGCTCACCTCGGCCTCCTCGTGGTGAGCTATGAGCTCGGCGGGTGACATCCCGCGCAGGTTGCAAGCCTTGGACTTCACCATGATGGGCACTTGACCCAAACTCTGCTGGATGATGCCCTGCGGCTCCCCGTTCACCGACCAGCTCACATCCGCCTGGCCGAAGGGGGGGGGGGGGGGAGTAACAGGAGGGGAGAAGATGAAGACCAGGACGAGGGGAGAGAAGGTGGATGGCAGGGAAGCGCTGGTTGTTTCACGCTAGGCAGCGAGAGTGGACCACGTACACGTACCGTAGTTGGTAGCGCAGAGCCGGCGGTTTACAAGCTCTACAAGGAACACATTTGCCGAGGTTTAAATACCGCAGCAGCCACATCTGCATCAAGAGCTCTAGCTTCCTTCCCGACGTTGCTTGATGAAACTCAACATAAAGAAGTTCGGTTGACATGACCCTGCCCCGATTCACTGCAATGACACGCTCACTGCCGTTGAACCATTTCCATGTCACTTTTTTATCACTACTACCACAACAATTTATCTAATGAACCTCATGCCTTGACACCCTCCAATCTCATCCGGCAAAATGGACCGTATCTTCTCATCAACGCTGTAAAAAAAAAAAGTGTTCGTTATTATCTGCTTTTATCAGCGCCCTCATTTGCTGGTCGTATATAGTTAACCATTCGTGCACGAGACGCTGTACGACTTTTTGAGGATGCAACAGGGCTGTTCAAGGGATCGATTGCTCACAACATGCCAAGTTCGTGACGCGAGCGGGTGTGTCGTGATCTCACCATGAGCTTGCCACGGTAGGTGGCGCGGCGCGCACGGCACTCGGCGGGGAAGACGCGCATGTCCCGGCACACGGCTGCCTTGCCCACCATGGGCGGAGAGATGGAGGTGTCGACGAAAGCCAGCGACAGGCGATTGCCATTTATCATGAACTCGATGGGAGGGATGGCCTGGGTACGAGACAGAGAACAGCGCGATCATCACAACACCATCAATGCTGCAACAATGTCATCATCATCATCGCCGCAACAACTTCATTACAACACCAAATACACAGATCCCCCGTATAGCCTTAACAGGGTGTTGGGACAAGTGCTGTTCGCGCGCATCTATTAGGGCCGGCACGGCACACGAGGGGGTGGGTGGCCAGCACCACGACCGGCCTTTGACTGCACTTTCCTCTGCTGGTAACGTAAACCCATCAACAACACATCGGAATCAGAATATTTTATTTATACTGGAGGAATCCGATGAGCTATGAAGCTTTATTTTCACAGGTGGACCGGTATACATGCCGGACACCCATCCAATAACTTTCCCGTCTCAACTCTGCTCAAGCTTCCAAGATCGGTGCCCTGCAACTGAAGTCGGCGTGGCCGGGGCTCACAAGGCAGTGCGCTAACCGCTGCGCCACCGCTCCTCGCGAAACGCATGAATAAAAACCCGAATTCATTGTCGTGCCTGCACACAATTAATAATTACACGATTATCCATTTTTACCGGGTATGCCGCAATAAGGCTACATTACACGGGGAATGGCGTGCTTAATGTCACATTAAGGGCAGGGTGCATTAACCTCGGCAGCCTTCCGCGGCAGCGTGTAACGTCCACCAAACCTGGCTCGTCACCACCGATGATTACACTGGTCAACACACTTTTTCTGGCATAAGGTATTCCAACGGTAGTAAGGTAATTTTGGGGTGCTGATTCCAAATCTGGCATCAGTTTTTGTCTATCAAATCAGGTTTTTGAGATATCAAAATCTGCAGAAGAAAAATATTAAATAAATGTGGATATCTACATAAAATGATATTATAAACACACTATCTTAAAAATACAGCACCATATTTTAACATCAAAGCAGTCACTGACTCGCAACAACTTGCAATCATAAGTGACAAGAGTTAATTTCGGGTAAAATCAATGAAAATGGGGTATGCCGATAGCCTAAAAATGAGATGTGATAGAGCAAATCTGAGATCAGATTTGGAATCAGCACCCTGAAATTAGTCTAAAACAGCTGCAAAAGTCCAGCCAGAATTTTTTTTATTTTTTTGTTGACCAGTGTTATTTTATTAAGGCCACGCCGCCGGTGAGATGCCGCTATTATACTGGTAGGAACGAAGTGGACCAGACCACCAATAGATTAATGTGTCCGTCCGTCCGTCCGTGGGAGGGGTGGTTTTGAGGGTGGTGTTGGAAATGAAAGACTACGAGTCTTTAAATCTCACAGCGTTTCTTGTCAAAACAAACACTTTTAATTAACGTTACACTAGAATACAGTAATTTTTTATTTAACTCCTCTATACCCGGTCGATATCTCTGTACCGGTACTAAGTATTATTCCTACCAGCCCACCCCGCAGGGTCCTGTTTTCAGTGAGGCCACGCCGAGGCCTGTACAAAGTGGGCCCTCTGTGGTGGCACCGCGCAAGACGGCGGCGATGGGATTCTGTGGGCCCTCTCAGGCCACCACCATCACACAACAATCGCCATTCGCCACTAAGTAGGCGGTGGCGTCACCACGACGCTTGTGCCAGGCCAAGTGCACCTTGAGGCCACCACGTGAAGTGTCGAACGCCCGCTGGCAGGAGGAGGTCACGGGGCAGACCCAGCAGGTGCCACGGGTCGACTGACCGAGATGACCGAGATGAATGGCCGATGCACAACCACATACACACACCACTGGCTAACCACCACCACCCCCCCGCTCGCCACGGCCTCACCTGCACCGCCTGCGAGAGGCCCTCGTGTAGCACGTAGTCGAACGACTCGACGTGCGACTTGACGAGCTCCTGCAGGGCGCGTCTCTGCGTGGCCGGCGGCCGCCCGTAGTCGGGCGCCGTGAGCTCCTTGAGGCTCGGAGCGCCGCAAGCCGCCGGCGGCTCCGTGGACGCGGCCATGCTGCCTCGATAGCTCCACGTGCTGTGGAGTGGGGGGATGGGGGGTGGGGGTGGTCAATGTTGTTGGTGGTGGTGGTGGGGAGGTGAAGTCGTCTGCGGCCATCTTACCTAGGGGGGGTGGTGGGGGGGGGTGTTGGTAGGGGGGGGGTGTTGGGGGGGGGGTGTTGGGGGTGGGGTGGGTGTTGGTGGTGTTGGTGGGGTGTTGGTGGGGTGTTGGTGTGGTGTTGGTGGTGTTGGGGGTGTTGGTGGGGGGGGGGGGTGTTGGTGGGGGGGGTGTTGGTGGTGAGGGGGGTGGTGGTGGTGGTGGTGGTGTTGGTGGGGGTGCTGGTGTTGGTGGTGGGGAGTCTCCTTGAGTAATATGGCCGCCAGAAGTTCTCGACTGTCGCCCGGCTCACCCGGCTTCCCTCGTCACCCCGGTGATGCCGCTTCACGCCCCCCCCCACCCCCAGCCTGTTGCTGCGTTGGCGGTGGTGCACAAAGACAAAGATCCCCCGTGTAGCCTTAACAGACTGTCGGGGCAAGTGCTGTTAGCGAGCACCTATGAAGGCCGAAACGATACACGAGGGGGTTGGGTGGCCAGCACCACGCCCGACCGCCTTTGTCTCCCCTGTGTCGATGTTTACTACACACCGCACCAGGTACTCATTTGAGGCTGAGTCAACCTAGGGGAGGATGCCCAGGTCCGGTTCAGATAATCGTCACTGGCGGTGTTGGCCGTGAGCGGGAATCCAACCCGGGTTGCCGGGTTCGTAGCGCTAACCACTGCACCACCGCTCCCCAGTCACGCACGCAGACACGTGGTACACACACACGTGGGTGGTGCACACAGACACGTGGTGACACGTGGTGCACTGAGACACGTGGTACACACACACGTGGGTGCTGCATACAGACACGTGGTGCACAGGGACACGTGGTGACACACAGACACGGATCTGTTAGCGGCACTAATGATGGACTGCGTGCGCGTGTGTGCACGGCAGAAGACGTTTCGGGCAATGGGCGCTTCTCAGAGAGAGAGAGACAGCGATGAAGAGCTTGGAGGCACGCTGGGGGCTACTTACGTGCGGTGGCGAAATAAGCTTTAAATCGTTTCGGAGAGAACCAACGAGGCTCTGTTGTCGCATTTTCACGTGCGATTCTCAGTTGGGGTGTCGAGTCGAGGGGGAACGAACGGGGGGGGGGGGGCAACGTTGTCTGCTCGCAGGCTGCAAGAGAGAGAGAGTTTCGTGTTGTTTCGCTATCCCCCAAGGAGTGTGCAGAGCCCACGATGGTTGACTACAACCCCAAGGGGTGGTTGCACGGCCACAATCACACGCCTGCAGGCTCGTGTATATCTCTCTCTGCCTTCACATGTGTCTCGGCAGAGATGAGCGCGTTTTGCCTGCGCTTGACGGCACACAATGTGGCTATGAATAAGGCCCAGTCAGCGAAACGTCGGTACTTTTTTATTTTATTTTGATGCCAATGTTATTGACGAACGTGTGGAGTTGTTTTTGGTTTGTTATTTGTGCGCCACTGCCAACGCGACAGCAGCAGTATCACCGAATATAATTCGTTACAACTCCCGTAGCTGGGGTCGGGTTAGAGGTGGTATTTGTGAAAAATTATTTGAAATCAATCCCAAACTATTCTAAGCAGGATAACAAAATAGATAAAACACCGCCTGTGGGTAAAAACAGTTTTCTTAAAATCAAATATAACTAAAATCTCTCAAAGCGTCGGCGTAGAGCAAAAAAAAAGTAACGGAAAGGGAAAAGTAGCGATAATAAAAAAAAATATAAAACTAATTTTGAACTCCATGTGAGAGCCGGCGTGTGGGTGACGCGCCCTGCGCATGCGCGGTGCGCGCGGCCGCGAGATATTTAGCAGCCGGGAGTCGCTTCCTGCCCCGAGTTGCGACGGAAAAAGGCCGCGGCGACAACAAGAAAAACCTCCAGCGGCCTCTCTCTGTCTCTCCCTCCCTCCCTCTGTCTCTCCCCACTTGTTTGTTGCCGTGTTGTGCTCAGGGCTTCTCATCAACTGCTAGTTTGAGTCTTCTACATCTGTTCGCCCTCACCACCACCACCACTAATTGTCATCATCTTCACCATTGGGCCACCAACGGCGCGTGGTGATCGTGCGCGCCCCTCGACTTTTGTTGTTTTTAAATTGTCTACTTCAAGTTACGCCACCAAGTCGCGTCGCCGTCTTGCACGACGAGGCGACACCCAACCACGACCGCAACAACAACAACATCGCCCTCCCAACGTCAACAACAACAACATCGCCCTCCTCTCCCAACGTCAACAACAACATCGCCCTCCCAACGTCAACAACAACATCGCCCTCCTCTCCCAACGTCAACAACAACACCGCCCTCCCAACGTAAACAACAACAACATCGCCCTCTTCACCCAGCGTTAACAACAACAACATCGCCCTCCTCTCCCAACGTCAACAACAACATCGCCCATCTCTCCCAACGTCAACAACAACAACATCGCCCTCCTCCCAACGTCAACAACAACAACATCGCCCTCTCCCAACGTCAACAACAACAACATCGCCCTCCTCCCAACGTCAACAACAACAACATCGCCCTCCTCCCAACGTCAACAACAACAACATCGCCCTCTCCCAACGTCAACAACAACAACATCGCCCTCCTCCCAACGTCAACAACAACATCGCCCTTCTCTCCCAACGTCAACAACAACATCGCCCTCTCCCTACGTCAACAACAACAACAACATCGCCCTCCTCTCCCAGCACCTCCACGACAACAGCTGGCCCAGCGTTGGACACGCGGCCAGTGGACCTGCCGACTTGCTGGCCAGCCCCTCCTGCCTTACCTGCCTTATCTGCCTGCCTGTCTTACCTGCCTTACCTACCTTACCTACCTTACCTGTTTGTGTGCCTTACCTGCGTGCCTGCCTGCCCGCCTGCCCGCCAGACAACCTGTTGGACGAACCGCTTTGCCCGCCTTTCCTGCCAGCCACTTGTTGTTGCTGCTGCTGTTGTACTGCCCGGCTGCTTCACAGACATCCCGTGTTGTCGTTGTTGGGACTGCCTCACGAGCAGCCATTCACACGCATAGACAGCCCAAAGAGTGTGGTTGGACTGGCTGCCAGCAGACACAGACACCCTGTCCGTGGAACGTGTTAATACTGCCTGCCTGCAAACCCAGGTACTGGACTGTGCCACTCATTACCACTGAGACGCCAAGCAAGCCAAGTGCTTGGGCAGCCAGACAGATTTTCAGTTTGGGCGACCTGTTGTGCTGCTGCTGGACTTCCTTGCCAGCTTAACACCCAGACCAGCAATCGGCCTGCCTGTTGTACAGTTTTTCTGCCAGATAACCACTCCGTAACACCTGAAAGTGAGCCTGTTGAGCTACATTAATTTATTGGTTTGTGTCTTCGGAACCTGAATGACCAGCCAGACAGACATCTAGCCATACAGTCGCAGTTGATTCACCGGCCTGTCAGAAGACATCCTATTGCCCTGCCTGATTTGTTCACTTACGGACGTGCCACAGCCAGCCACGGAGCCCGCTTGCGTGACGTGCCAATGGAAGTGGGGGACAAGGCCTTTGGCTTTGGCAGCTACGAGGGCCACGAGGAGGCGCAGAAGGCCCTCGATGCGATGAACGCCAAGGCGAAGGAGCTCAACGGGAGCCGGGTAATGTACGGGGCCCGTGCCTCCAAGGCTGCGGCCGAGGGTGAGGCGGTGGCGGTGGCCGAGCTGGAGCGACAGTTCGAGATGCTCAAGCAGGAGCGCAGGAGCAAGTACCTGGGCGTGAACCTGTACGTGAAGAACCTGGACGAGTGCATCAATGACGAGAGGCTGCGCAAGGAGTTCGCGCCGTACGGCAACATCACGAGCGCCAAGGTGATGGTGAACAGGGGCGGCGAGTCGAAAGGCTGCGGCTTCGTGTGCTTCTCCATGCCCGAGGAGGCCATCAAGGCCATGACGGAGATGGACGGGAGGGTGGTGGGCTCGAAGCCGATGTACGTGGCGCTGGCCCAGCTGAAGGCCGAGCGTAACCTCCAGCACCTGGCCTCTCACCTGAACAAGCACGGGTTCTACGCGGGCAGCGGGCACAGGAGGTCGGAGAGCGAGATGGAGCTCAACGGGGAGTACGAGTTGCCCGAGCAGGAAGGCAAGAACAAGTTCCAGGGCGTGAACCTGTACGTGAAGAACCTGGACGGCAACATCAACGACGAGAGGCTGCGCAAGGAGTTCTCGCCGTTCGGCACCATCACGAGCGCCAAGGTGATGGTGAACAAGACGGGCGAGTCCAAGGGCTGCGGCTTCGTGTGCTTCTCCACGCCCGAGGAGGCCGTCAAGGCCATGTCGGAGATGGACGGCCGCATCGTCGGCTCCAAGCCCATGTACGTGACGCTGGCGCAGCTGAAAGGGGAGCGCAGGATGCAGCAGCTGGCGACTCACCTCAGTGAGCACGCGTTCCACGTGGGCAGCACGCACAAGAAGGCGGTGCTCGAGATGGAGCTCGGCGGCCACGACGTGCTCAGACACAAGTGCACGAGCAAGTTCCAGGGCGTCAACCTGTACGTCAACAACCTGGACCCCAACGTCAACGACGAGCGGCTGTGGAAGGAGTTCTCCCCCTTTGGCACCATCACCAGTGCCAAGGTGATGGTGAACAGGAGCGGCGAGTCCAAGGGGTTTGGCTTCGTGTGCTTCTCGTCGCACGACGAGGCCTCCAGGGCCATGCTGGAGATGGACGGGCAGGCGCTCGGATCCAAGCAGCTTTATGTGGCGCTGGCCCAGCTCAAGACGGAGCGCAGCCTCCCTTTGCCTCGCCTCAACGGGCGGGCGATCTGCGTAGGCCATCTTCACAAGTCGGCGGAGGAGCTGGAGCTGGAGCGACAGTTTGAGTCGCTCAAGCAGGACCGCAGGAACAAGTTCCAGGGCGTGAACCTGTACGTGAAGAACCTGGACGACGGCATCAACGACGAGAGGCTGCGCAAGGAGTTCTCGCCGTTCGGCAACATCACAAGCTCCAAGGTGATGGTGAACAGATGCGGCGAGTCGAAAGGCTGCGGCTTCGTGTGCTTCTCCACCGTCCAGGAGGCCACCAAGGCCATGACGGAGATGGACGGCCGCATCATCGGTTCCAAGCCGCTCTACGTCACCCTGGCGCAGCTCAAGGCTGAACGCAACCTCCAGCATCTGGCCCCCCACCTGAACGAGCACGAGTTCTACGCGGGCAGCAGGCACAGGAGGTCGGAGAGCGAGATGGAGCTCAACGGGGAGTACGAGATGTCCAAGCAGGACGGCAAGAACAAGTTCCAGGGCGTGAACCTGTACGTGAAGAACCTGGACGGCAACATCAACGACGAGAGGCTGCGCAAGGAGTTCTCGCCGTTCGGCAGTATCACGAGCGCCAAGGTGATGGTGAACAAGACGGGCGAGTCCAAGGGCTGCGGCTTCGTGTGCTTCTCCACGCCCGAGGAGGCCATCAAGGCCATGTCGGAGATGGATGGCCGCATCGTCGGCTCCAAGCCCATGTACGTGACGCTGGCGCAGCACAAGGTGGAGCGCAAGGTTGAGCTGTCGTCCTCGCAGTACGTGCAGCACGTTGGCGGCGTGCGCATGGTGGCGCCGAGCACCACCATCATCGGGCAGTACCAGCCGGCGACCACCTCTGGATACTTTATGACGACGTTGTCACAAGCGCAGGCCCGCACTCCATACTACCCGCAGTCCCAGATGGTGCCCGTGCGCTCCAACCCCTGGTGGCTCCTGCCAGTGCAGCCCCAGGGAGCCCACGCCGCCCACGCTCACGCCGCCCATGCCCACGCCGCCCACGCCGCCCACGCCGCCGCCGGCTTCCAGGCGATGCCGGGCCCCATCCGCCAGCCGTCGCCCGGCACCACGGTGATGCACCAGGTGAACGCGGCCGATGTGTCGCAGGGAATCGATGCCGCGCACGTCATCTCCCAGGGCATGATGGCCCGCCCCTCTTTCTCCAACCAGGTCACCGGACTACAAGTGCCGACCTACAAGTTCACGAGGGGCATGCAGAACCTCTAGTGGACCCGGCATGTGCGTCGGCAAGGCCTTGCATTTGCAAACACTCGGAAAAAGTCTGAGCCCCACCAACACCACCACTCAGTCTCCTGCCTACCAGGTTTTTGCAAAATACATGGAAAAATTTCGATTTAAAGCTTTCGTGACTGCAGGGATTCATCTTCTTGGTTCTTTCGGTAAAGTCTACGTGACTTTACCGAAAGAACCAAGAAGATACATGGAAAAAGTTGAGATTGCGGCTTAGGTCATGGACTGAGAGTTTGACTGTCAGAAAGCTGAAGTCGGTGGGAGAGTTGAATTGCTCACTGGCCACTGCTTTTGGCTTGGAGTTCTGCAAAACGTGGTCAGGCTCAGCGGTCACATGGGAGTGGACCAGACTCTTCGGGATGCTCCTCGCACAGCGGGGAAGCCTCAAAAGTGGCGCACGGGCAGGGTCCGCTCCTCGCTTCCATACTGCACGCATCGCCAGCACCGCAAGGACTTGCAGTGGATGCCCCGAGGATGGGGAGCACGCCGCTCTCTCCCTCCCGCCTGGTCTCGCCCGAGGCCCGTGGAGTCGAAGCAACGAGAGGCGGAAAATAGGGGGCCTTGAGAAAGGCCACTTTAGGGATGGTTTTCCTAGCTCCTTCAAAGAACACTTAAGGTGTAGGGCGGGGCTGGCTCTCCATCTCAGTGGCCACAGTGTTTGTTTTTGTTAACGACCGCGGTCAGAAAACACATTCACCTCAATGCAACACCAGCAGTCGAATTAGTGTTTGTAGCCAAGTGATTGTTACGGAAGTGGTCGGTGTCAAACGTCCTTGTTTCAATCGTGAATGTTTTTGGCTTTCACGAATAATGTCTCGCCTGGGGGAAAGTGTCAGTCAATGGAGCCACAGCCGGCTCCATGCACCCAGTTTTCTGTACCTTGGTCACTTTTTAATAAACAAGTTTTGACAAGTGCAGTTTTTTAATTTGACATTTCAACCGAAGTATCTGTTTTTTGTCAAACCATTGTCCAGCCCTAGTCCGAAAGCAAGCTCCGTGAGCTTTAAGAGGCGATGTAGTGAGTCCGCTGAGGTCGTCAGGCACCAGCCCGAGCTCCCCACCAGGGTGCAAGGGATCCACATTTACCAGTTGCAGTGAGTGTGACATGGAGCGACTTGATTTGTAAAATTTCAAGGTGCACCGCCTTGGTGGTTTGTCAGAACTAGAGTTTCAGAATCCCTGATAGTCGGTGCTTACAATTATACGACTTGTCCTCATGAGGCTATTATTGAGTTCAAGGAGTGATTGGGGGGGTCATTGTTTTCCACACTCAACGGAAGAATGGTGTTTTCCACAGTTAATTGCCAACACGTGCCACACCCTCCAGGGTGGCGCACACAAAACGCATCCACGACACACCAAGCCACATTTGGCCACCCAAAAACAAAACAGCCAACCTCTTTTTGCTTTGAAACCCCCCCCCCTCCCTTTAACATTGGTCACGCCACGACTCGTCAATCGTCTTGTTGCGTTTTTTTTTGTTAACATTGCAACGGAATCGTGTGAACATAACTGCCCGAGAGGAAGTTAGTCTTTATTTACCGGCGTCTCTAATAACTGGTCTGTGCTGTAACGTTTTATCCCCCCCCCCCCCCGTATGCGTCTGCCGTGCAAAGTGATTCTTGACGGGAAAAACTCTATAATAAAACTTTACACAGATCTCTGCTGCACTCGAATCTCTTTTTTTTCCCCACCGTCCTGGGAAAGTCTGGGAGTTTTTGGGGAACCTCTTGGGTCACCCTTATGGGATCGGCAGGACCTCTCTGGGAATGGGAGCGAGTTCAAATGCGTCAAGGGCAAGACAAACATAATAAGTATAATCGTGCATTCTGTAAAACCATGAGTTTCAAGCAACACAATCGTGTGTAAAATGCTTCTCAACCTCTGCATTATGCAATAACCAATGGCATATCCTCACTGCTGCTGTCACAAGGTCCCATTTGCTCAAATGTATTTTGATGGTGATTTAAGAGTACCACATGCACTTCTTCGTGAAATGCTCATGTGTTTTGCATACGGATCGAGGCTGTGTGCTTCTTACACGTGTTTGTGTTGTCTGAAACGTATGTGGAATGTGATCGTGGTGATGAACCTGGATGGTGGGTGGTAAGTGAATTTCTGGAAGCTGACTGGGACAGGCCTTGTATTGGTATCTGGATATTACTCTTTGGTTTTGTCGGTAAAGTCACGTAGGTAAAAAATAAAATTAAAATAAAATCAAAATAAATTGTGTTGCCTCCGAAACGTCGTGATTTAATTTATTTTTACTTTATTTTTCACCTACGTGACTTCCGAAAAAACCAAAGAGTATGGACCCTTGCAGTCACGAAAACTTCAAATCTAGAATATCTGGGTCTTGTTCTCTTCCTGGGAGTTGATGTTTCATCGGCGGTAGGTCTGTGGCACCCTTGTGGATTGTGAATGTGCTTTGTCGGATACTGTTCAACTCTGTAGGTTCTAATCATTGACATCCTTGTCACTTGTGATTTGGCCCGTTGATCACGTAATTTTATCTGTGGGTCAAAAGTAATTGAGCGCTTCTTCATGGAAATTCGTATCCGAGTCGATCCTTCTAACGTCCAACTGAGATGATGTGGTTATTTTTCACTTACGGAGGAAGCTTCGCTTCGGGGTGACGGACAAATCCAGCTCTGTCTCCAGGCCACTTCCCATTGTGAAGCTCCCCAATGTGTTTTCAGGTTTCACCGCGTGGTAGCGAAACGTCAGACAAAATACTGAACAGGGTGTGTGGTACAACCTCACGCTCATCGGAGAACTGTAGGGCACAACCGCGACAACCTCAGCAGTGATGATAATAATAATAATTGTGTTACGTCTATGGGACCTTTTTTGCCAGTTATCATACTTTGATACTTGTGCTGCCTTTGCGCTGTTCGCCTTTCGACGTTCTCTGGTCTAACACCGGTGAGACAAGGCCACACAAGGCAGTATCTGATGTAGGCAATGCATATGATCAGACCATGTTAATTTGCATGTTTTGCCACAAGTGTGTGTGGTTTAATGCAGACTCGATGCCTTGCGATAAGGGATATATTTGGCGTATGAAAATGTTTTACACCCTTTATTGCCAGAAAGGGTTTCGAGCCTATTCTTGTGGGGTTTTTTTTGCAATAGTCGCGTGCGTTTTCTTTTATCCGTCTCGAGATTGTTCATGCGACTGATGTCCACTAGATGCCGCTAGAGAATTTCCTGCCCCACCGCCGATCGCTCACCGCTCTCATCCTTCAGCTTACAAGAACAGTTTTAGTTTCAGCGGAGCTGTCCGATGCTAAGCTCTGGAAAAAATGCCCCCCCCCCAACTCCCCCCACCGTCTTGCTATCGGTGGGAGGTTAAGGGAAAGGACGGTGTCCTGGTGGCTGGTTATTGGTCGGGCGGAGGGGTGGAAATATCCCACGAAAAATTCAGATCGAGGCGCCTCTCGGAGGACATCGAAGTCTTAATTAATCTCACCACGTGGGACCTTGCTACTTAAATAATGGATGCGGTGAATTAGAGCTGACTTTAGGGGCCCACCCGTTACCCACCGGGTGTGCTTGCCGGCTGGGTGGTGGGAGAGAGGGAGGTGCGGGTTGGGCCGTGAGAAAAATGGGGAGTTTGGGGGGGTTTCTGCAGTACTGGGGGGGAAGTGTTCGTTGAGTGAAGATCCCAGAGAAACCATTAACACCTCTCTCCCATGACTTCACAGAGTCCCTGAACCTCCTAATGTCCACGGTCTGTCCACTGCTGGATATGCAGTGTCGCCATCGCCCACGGTTCTGCGAAGCCGCAATTCCTCTCCTGCGCACGGACGTGGCGAGCGTCCTCCATGGCGCGCGCTCTATCTCCCCTCTTTTAGCTGCCGGTCCACCACCAGCCTCGTCCACCCGCTATCACCGAATGGACTCGTTTCTTTGTTTTGAAAACTTTGTCGTTTGTGTTGTTGTTGTTTGTGCTTTTTTTTGTTTTGGTGCCATTTCTGAATTAGTTTATTCATTGTTGATTTTGCTTGGGAGCAGGGTTTTCGTGTGCTTGGTATGCTACGCGTGTGCGTGCGTGTGTGTAGGGCTTCTTTTTGCGCTGTGCGTAGCCAATCGCGTACATGGAATTCGGTCCTTATGTAATGCGGGCGTAAACGGCCCTCCGGAGGTGCCGTCATGAGGGGAGGAGTTAGGTCACGTGGGGGGAGAGGGGTTGAGCTATAGAAGGAGGGGAACCGGAAGAGGATAGGGAGTGACGGGGAACCAGGGACAGAGAGAGGCCACGAAGGGCGAAGCGGAGTGTGGCGAGATCGCCACGAACACGGGGGGAGCGAGGATCGGCACCGTTGGCCAGCGGTGACCGACCCGAGGCAGCGAGGAGGCTGCAGTCAGCAGCGGGGCTGCACAGAGAGAGTGGGCAGCGGGTCTGCATACAGTGGCAGCCAGAGGGTCTGCACATAGGGGTAGCAGCGGGAGTCTGCATAGAGGTAGCAGCGAGTCTGCAGGGAGGAGGTTACAGTAGATGAAGCAGAGAGTCAGAGGGAAGAAGAAGCTATAATAGCAGTGAATAGCCGGGGGCTACAAATACAGAGTTATAACAGAGTGCCGTGTGGGTGAAGACGAGAACCCAATAAAAGACACGAAGACAGAAGGAAGTGTCCGAGTCCTTTTATTACACTGGAGTCAGAAGTGAAACGGCATGGCGAAACAACTGAGGAAAAAGAATATCCCATCTCCGGCGTCGGCTTCATCATCGGACGACGACGATCTTCCTCCTGAGGTCGGCTTCACTTCGGCGGAGGGAGAGATCCGTGAGGGCCCGGGTGTCGAGGAGGTTGCCGCTGCGTCCGCCCCGTCTGCGTTGAAGGACGAAGATTTAAGATGGACCCGAATGGCGGAGCAGCTGGCGACTCTTAAAACCGTCATCACTGAGTTGTGTGACCTTGTCACGCCAAGGGCGGCGTTGGAGGGGGATGGTGGTGATCGGCAGGAGCCCGGATTGTCTTCGATGGCGCCGCCATCGGCCACGCGGCGTGAAGACGCCATCTTGGGCGTGGCGCACCACGGAAGGCGGGAAGCCGCCATTTTGGGGCCGCCGCGAGGATCGTCCGCCATCTTGGCGACACCGCGTTGCGACGCCTTGCTGAACTTACCGCCGGAAGAGTCAGCGACGGACGGAAGCAGGCCAAGGGGCCGCAGTCGTCACCTTACAACCGTCAAAGAGTTCTCCATCGGGGGCGATTGGAGTGCGTTCGCCTGTAGATTTTTGGCGGCGGTACGTACGGCAAGGTGGACGGACGCTGAGGCACTGGAGGTGCTTCCGACTCTTCTTGATGATGAGTCCGTTCGTTTTTTTCGCTCTATAAAAGCTGCGAAGAAGAAAACTCTGCGTGGGGTGTTCGATGAAATGGCGGACGCGTACGAGCCACCGGATGACGCCCATCGCCGCTTCGTGCAGCGGCAACGCGCACCGGAGGAGTCGCCTGTAGCGTACAGGGGCGCCGTGTTGGAACTCGCTATGGCCGCTTACCCGGAGACGGAGCCTGACCTGCTGGAACCTCTCATCTTGGGGAAGATGTTGGAGTTATCCCGGGATCTGGGCATTCCTATGCCGGCGTGCGGTCACGAAAAACTCACGTCCCGGGCCGCGGCCAAGTGTTTGGACGCCCAGTTCAATCTCCGCCGCTGGAAACAAGTCACGGCGTGGACGGGCGGTCCTGTCGTCGATGGGGAGGCCGTAGGGTGGGACCCTACAAAGGCCGTGTACGTGCCGGATGCGACCGGCCCAAAGGAGTTGTCGGCCGCCTCCACTCCGTGGCCGGCTCGAAGCGGGCCAGGGCCACGGGCTCCGCCGCCGGCGCGGCCGCGTCGGGACGGGGTGCCCGCTGCGCGCCGCCCCGACGTCGACTGCTTCCGCTGCGGCCGTCGGGGCCACTATGCCAGGGACTGCTGGGCCCGGGTTCCGGGGCCGCCCCAGCAGGAGGCCTCGACAGCGGACGCCCCAAAGAAAGACCCTCCGGCACAGACAAGCCGGCCGTGACAGCGCAGGGAGGAGGACGTTCCGCTCGTGGGACGTCGACTGGAGCCGCAGAACCCACGGGACCTGCAGCTCTTCCTATCCCTCCGCGGACGCGAGTACGGGATGTCTCTGGACGCGAGCGGGACAGTGGCGGGCCTCCAATGGCGACGGAAGAACTTGCACCCGTCGCCCCTAAAACCCTTCCACGTTCCCGCTCGGCGGGTGGTCTGCCGACCGTCCGGGACGGCCCGGCTGCCCGTACTCGCTCGAAATCCCTCACGTTTCGTTAGATTGTGTTGTGTTGTGTTCATTGTTATATTGTTCTTGCATGCTTCGTGTCTTTTTAGGTATTGGCCCTTTACACCCGCATTGCTTTTCAGGTTGCAATTCAGCCGAGGTCGGCTGGATTTTCTTTATGGGGGAGGGTGATGTAATGCGGGCGTAAACGGCCCTCCGGAGGTGCCGTCATGAGGGGAGGAGTTAGGTCACGTGGGGGGAGAGGGGTTGAGCTATAGAAGGAGGGGAACCGGAAGAGGATAGGGAGTGACGGGGAACCAGGGACAGAGAGAGGCCACGAAGGGCGAAGCGGAGTGTGGCGAGATCGCCACGAACACGGGGGGAGCGAGGATCGGCACCGTTGGCCAGCGGTGACCGACCCGAG